TTTTGTAGAGACAGAGTCTCATTTTATTGCCCCTGGTAGAGTGCCGTGGCGTCACACAATTCACAGCAACCTCCAACTCCTGGGCCCAGGCAAATTCTCTTGTCTCAGCCTCTTGAGCAGCTGGAACTACAGCGCCTGCCACAACGCCTGGCTATTTTTTTGTTGCAGTTCGGCCAGGGCTGGGTTTGAACCCACCCCCGCTTGGTATATAGGGCTGGGACCCTACCCACTGAGCCACAGGTGCCGCCCCCAACCAAGAGTTTGAAGTTGCTGTGAACTATAATTATGCCATGGCACTCTACCTGTGGTGACAGAGTGAGACCCTGTCTCAAATAAACAAAACAAAACAAAACACCCAAAAAACACACTTTGTTTCCCTCCCCTTGTTCCTCAGATCTCACGAAGTTTTTGGGAACTGAAATTCATACCCCAAAGACTTGCAGTCTTTTTTTTTTTTTTTTGGCAGTTTTTGGCCAGGGCCACTAGGTTTGAACCCACCATCTCCGGTATATGGGGCTGGCGCCGTACTCCTTTGAGCCACAGGTGCTGCCTAAGACCTGCAGTCTTTCTAATTAGATATTTAGATTCCTGGGCCACAGGGTCTAATAGTCCATTGATTCTAGGACACACACTTTCACACCTCTGAAATCAGAGAGCATCTTCCAACAATTGATGATGCATCATGGTTTAATTGGCAGCTTTGTGGGTGTCCGTGTGTTATGTGAACAATGGTGTAGTTTATTGCTGATGGCGTCTGAGGTTGGATGCAATAGGGCTATTTCCTCACATCCCCTTTGACCAGCTTCTTACAGCTTCTGGCTCCACACAAGCTGTTCTTGCACACTCAGTTGCAAAGAGAAACAAACCTCTGAGGGCATTCAGAATTGAAATGACCTGGGTTTAAAGCCCAGCCTAGCCACTGTATGATCTTGGGCAAGTTCTTCAACATCTCTGAGCCTTATAATATTTGCTTTTAAATTAAGGACAGTGGCTCAGTGCCTGTGGCTCAAGTGGCTAAGGCGCCAGCCACATACACCTAAGGTGGCAGGTTCGAATCCAGCCTGGGCCGCCAAACAACAATGATGGCTGCAACCAAAAAATAGCCAGGTGTTGTGGTGGGTGCCTGTGGTGCCAGCTACTTGGGAGGCTGAGGCAGGAGACTCGCTTGAGCCCAGGAGTTGGAGGTTGCTGTGAGCTTTGATGCCATGGCACTCTACCCAGGGGTCAGCTTGAGGCTCTGTCTTAAAAATAAAATAAAATAAAATAAGGATAGTGACGTTCATTTGGTGCAAAAGTGTTTGACACAAAGCTTCTATTTTTTTCACAAAGCTTCATTTCTTCGTCGTCTTCTTTTTTTTGAGACAAGAGTCTCAAGCTGTCACCCTGGGTAGAGTGCTGTAGCATCATACCTCACAGCAAACTCCAACTCTGGCTCAAGCAATCCTCTTGCCTCAGTTTCTCTATTTTTATTACAGATGGGGTCTCGCTTTTGCTCAGGCTGATCTCAAACTTGTGAGCTCAAGCAATCCACCCGCCTTGGCCTCCCAGAGTGCTAGGATTACAGGCATTAGCCACCTCTCCCAGTCCTTTTTTTTTTTGAGACAGAGTCTTACTTTGTCGCCCTTGGTAGAGTGCCCTGGCGTCATAGCTCACAGCAACCTCAAGCTTTTGGGCTCAAGCAGTTCACTTGCCTCAGCCTCCTAAGTAGCTGGACTACAGGTGCCCACCACAATGCCTGGCTATTTTTAGAGGCAGGGTCTCACTTTTACTCTGGCCAGTCTTGAATTTGTGAGCTTGGGCAATCCACTAGTCTTGGCCTTCCAGAGTGCTAGGATTACAGGAGTGAGCCACTACACCCAGCCTCATTTCTTCTTGAAAGTGCTTTTACATCCATTCCATGTGGTTCTCTTCATGAACTTGGGAGGTCTGCAAAAGTGCCCCTGCCTGCTTTTAGATTGCTGCTGAGAGCTCACCTTCTCCAGGTCCTTTCAACACTCCTTCCTCTATGTACTTCTCATCCCTTCATACTGCCTAGTGTAGCTCCCAGCTAAAGATGAGGGAGTTCCAGAGTGCTCTATGGCTGTCCCTAGTGATATATGTATTTTTTAAAATTTCACATGTATGTTTGACCCTTCCCCACTATCAGTGTGATTTGGGAAACAGCTCTTTAACCTCTTTGCCGTAGGATTCTCATTAGTAGAACAATGATAACATAATTCAAGACAGCTACCACTTATGAAATGTTTACTATGTTAGGCATAATCATCTTACTGTTGTACAGATGAGAAAACTGAGGCTTACACGTTAATTGATGAGCCCATATGCTAGCTAATGAACGGGCTAGAATTTATACATTGACCCTAACTACTTTTAACTTTTCTCTACACAGCCTTTTCAAAAGCCCTTCCAATTCTATAATTAAATGATTCTGTGTTTCTTTTTTTTTGTTTGTTTGTTTTTTTTTGAGACGGAGCCTCAAGCTATCCTCCTGGGTAGAGTGCCATGGCATCATGCTCACAGCAGCAACCTCCAACTCCTGGGCTCAAGCAAGTCTCCTGCCTCAGCCTCCCAAGGAGCTGGGACTACAGGCGCCCACCACAACGCCCAGCCATTTTTTGGTTGCAGCCATCATTGTTGTTTGGCGGGCCCGGGCTGGGGATTCGAACCTGCCACCTTAGGTGTACATGGCTGGCGCCTTAGCCGCTTGAGCCACAGGCGCCGAACCGATTCTGTGTTTCTTTCTCCTCTGCATCAGTACCTGAGATAGGGTAAATTTCATTATAAAAAGAGACAGCAAAGTCATTTGTAAAGCAAAGGATGTCCAACAATCTGTGTTTTTTCCTGTGTTCCTCAAATGATGAGGCCTCTAGTCACCAATGTCATGTCTTCGTTTTAGCTGTAAGAAAAAAGAGTGTCTGAAGTTGTGCCAAATCAGGGGAAGTGAACCTGTTAACAGCCCTTCAAACCCAGGTGAGGAGAAATGACCCAGTGCCCATGCCTGATGATGCCCTCCCTCACACCCTTTCCCTCCACCCACCCACCCCTGTCCTCTGACTGCCATCTGCTTGGTCTCCAGACACCTCAGTGCTGCTGCCTCTGGTGATCTTCCTTGGTCTTTGCCTTTTGTCCCTCCTCTTCATCTGTTTAATGTGCCGCTACCAGAAGTGGAAGCCCAAGCTCTACTCCATTGGTGAGTGGAGCCTCTGGGAGGGGAAAGGGTGCTGGTGAGGTGGAAAGGATACGGGAGGAGGTGGGTGGATACGGGAGGAGGTGGGTGGGTGAGGTGAATGTTTGTGGAGGGAGGTGGGGCCTGTTCCCTTAGTTTTCTGCTGAGGACCCTTGGGCAGGAGATCGACTAGATAGCTGGTGAAAAGTCATGCTGCATGAATAGTTCTCTAGTCCCTGGGGCCATATAGGCCCTGAGGCATGTCACCACAAGTCCCCACTGCTGGCACCAGGGCTGAGAAGGGAAGTGAAATTTATGATGCTTTGCTTTTATTCTCTCCCTGCCCCGCAGTTTGTGGGAGACCAACACCTGAAAAAGAGGTAAGATGAAACCAAGCACTGTCCTACTGTCCTCAAACCCCCCCCCGCCTGTTCTTTATAATCTTGTCATACCCAAGTCTCCTGGAATCACCTTATATTCCCGGGACTCCTCAAATTCCCCCCCATCCAGTATAAAGAGGTCTTGGGGCTGTTTCTCCACTTTCTCACTAATACTATGGTTTCTTTCTTTCAGGGGGAGCTTGAAGGAATTACAACTAAGCCTCTGGCCTCAGTTCCGGGCTTCAGTCCCACCTTGGGCTTCACTCCCACCTCGGCCTTCAGTCCCACCTCGGGCTTCAGTCCCACTCCGGGCCTCAGCCCCAGCCCAGGATTCAGTCCCACTCAGGGCTTCAGCCCCAGCCCGGGCTTCAGTCCTATCCCCTGCCCTACCTTCACGCCCACCCACACCTTCATCCCCAGTTCCAACTACACACCCATGACATCCCCCAGAGAGGTGGCCCCACCCCACCTGGGGGCTGAGCCTATCCTCAACACGCCCCCGGCATCCACCCTCAGTCCCACCCTTCTTCAGAAGCCGGAAGACACTGCCCATACCCTGCGCTCAGACAGTGAGTTCCCTGGGTGACGGAGCTGGGGGCTGGGGGTGTTGGGGCCGGCGGAGCTGCGCGCACCGGACTGGGAGCAGGGTAAAGGATGGGGGTGGGGCTGCCGCCCAAGGTTGACCGCCTCGCTTATCCCGCAGCCGACCCTGCCATGCTGTACGCGGTGGTGGACGGCGTGCCCCCGTCGCGCTGGAAGGAGTTTGTGCGGCGCCTGGGGCTGAGCGAACACGAAATCGAACGGCTGGAAATACAGAACGGGCGCTGCCTGCGCGAAGCGCACTACAGCATGCTAGAGGCCTGGCGGCGGCGCACCCCACGTCGCGAGGCCACGCTGGAGCTGCTGGGCCGCGTGCTCGGCGACATGGACCTGCTGGGCTGCCTAGAGGACATTATAGAGGCGCTGCGCGGCCCCGCCTCCCTCTCGTCCGCTCCCCGCCTCCCTCGATAAGGCCAAGCCCCCGCGGACACCGCGGACGGCCGAAGGACGGTCTTGCCTGACGCCCTAGACCCGAGCTTTTCCTGGAGAGGAAGAGTCCGGGAGGGGTAGGCACTAGCAGGCTCCCGCTCACTTGGTGCTCCACCCTGTGTATACAGCTTTGTCAGCTGCCTGAGAACCACCCAAAGTCAGTGGGATGTGCGCAGGAGAGAGGTGCTCTGTGGTGCACTTGTGCTCAGGAGAGGCTGCTGTGGCAGCAACCCGAGTGAGTGGGTGCAGGGATAAGGGCACTATGCCTTACGCTTTTTTTTTTTTTTTGACAGAGTTTCACTCTGTTGCACTGGATAGAGTACCGTGGTATTACAGCTTACAGCAACCTCAAACTTTTGGGTTCAAGCGATCTTCTTGCCTCAGTTTTAGAAGGGACTGGGTCTAGCCCTTGCTCAGGCTGGTCTCAAACACATGAGTTTAAGCAATCTGCCCACCTCGGCCTCCCAGAGTGCTGGGATTATAGGGGTGAGCCACCATGCCTGGCCTGCCTCATGCCCATTTGGGGCCCAGCAAGGCTGTCCAGGGTCGCTGGTTGGTCTCCGAGCCTCTTTCACAGTAGATAAGCAGACATGTTACACTAATGGAAGCTTGGCACCCCTTTGCCCCCTGTCTGGACAGCACAGAGCAAGCTGAACTGTCCCAAGGCAGGGGCAAGCACGGAACAGTGGGGGCCCCAGCTGGATCTGTGGACTTTTGTAAATACACTAAAACTCTGAAATTAAAGCTGTGCTACTGAGGGAGTGGTCTGTCCATGGGAGGCTCCGGCAGAGGCTGACATCCTCAAGGGTGGGATGGGAAGAGCCCTGAGCTAAGGCAGGTAGCCCACCACCAACATGCCAACTGACAGAGGTGACTCCTGGGAACAAATTTCTCCTTCCCACCCTCATCCCATGCTGACTGGGCAGTCACTTTTATCCATAACTTTATGTAGGGCTTGGGGTGTCTATGGTACATGAATTTACAGTTCTTCACCCTCAAAGTCTCCAGAAAAGGAGGCAAGGTGCCTGGGCCAGGCTTCTTATTGGAAAATATGGTCCTTGAGGTAGAGTCCAGGGTAGGGGGGTGACCAGCACTCTTGTGGGTAGATTTCCTCTGAGAGAAATGCCAAAGGTCCTTAGTGTTCCTCATACTTCTCTGAAAAGACAGGAGGTAAGTGTTAGGCCAAGGTCAATGGCAATGAAGGAAGGAGGCAGAGGGCCCTTCCCTACCTCCACCCTGGCTGTGTCTGGCATTGTCCTCTTTCTGTACTACCACCTAAACAGGCCTCCCGCCATTTCCCCTCCCTTGCCAACTTCCTTTCAGCACTTACGATGTGGACAAGGGGGTGTCCAGTTGTATGATGTGGCGCCCCCGCATCCTCCGCAGTTGGGCCTGAGTTAGCTTCCGAGGCCTGTTGTCTCTAGGGTCCGGGGCGCCCTCTATCCTTTGGCTGGCCAGCTCCTCCCGGATCTCTCTGAGCATGTCCTCAGCCCGCAGGTGATGGGGAGAGGCAGTGCAGTCAGGTCCTAGGAAGAGAGGCCCCTCTTCTTCCTCATCCCCTGAGGACTCCCAGGGGCTCTCCCCAGCAGAGTCAGCATGGGTTGGGGAGTGGGGGAGCTGCCCCCGAAGTCGGGCCCGGTGCAGGGTTTCCACCACCACATTTCTGCCCATCGATGTCCCATCTTCTTCCTCAGACCAGGTTGGTGGGTCTCCCCTGGGAAGACTGCCTCCTCTTCGGATCCCTTCTGGCAGTTCGGGGGCACTTCGGCGTTGAAGAGCTTGGGGGTCAGGAGGCTGGGGGCGCAAAGGAACATCTCGCAGGTCCAGGGTAGAGAAGGTGAGGCGAGGGTCCCGCCGAAGGGCCCTCTGTCGTAGTCGGCTCAGAGGGGAGTGGGACCTCTTGGGGGAGCCTGGGATCAGAGTGCCATAGCCAGAGTCTGAGGTATCATCTGGTACAGAGGGAGCATCTTCATCCGTGTCTTCAGTCACCACTAGGTGGGGGATGATGGCCGAGAGCTCAGAAGTCCTACAATTAACAGCAAGTAGTCAGTCTGATGCTTCAAGTTCAAGTCCAGGAAGTCTCCCCTGTATCTCCTTTACATTGCCCTGTGTTGTTCTCATCTGGTGGCTAGGCTGCAAGCTCCTAGAAGAGTGCAGGCTATCTCTAAGACATTTTGTCCACAGGACCTGGTCCAGGACCTTGTATCAAGGAGATGGATGGGCATTTGCTGAGCAGTTCCTGAGGTTATTCCCCTGTGACAGGTTCTTTTCTCCTTAACCATCCTACTAAGCAGCTGTGTTATGCTGTATGAACCTCTCACCCTTCAGGGGTCTGGACTAACTGAATCCTGGCAGCCCTGACGTTCTGCATGTCCATACCCTCCGTTCCCTCTCTAGTCAGTTCATCAGGAAGGTCACACGTTCCCCTCTAGGGTATGCCACATACCCCTTCACAAGGCTTCTACCACCCTGCAGCCTGTGTTCCTTTGTGTGTTCCCAAGTGGCACTACTAGGGCTGTAGTGCCACTTCTCAGCCTCTTGCGTCCTTCCTCTCCTCCTCCTTGGCTGGGGTCCCCCTACTTTAGGAGACCTAGTGGTTCATGTGGGTCTTACCTCCCCTCTGTGCTGCTCTGAGAGCCCTCCAGGGAAGGTGTGGAGGGCCTGGTGCTGGGGGACTCCCTGTCCTGGTCCCGATAGAGGGCCAGGAGCTCCCTCTTCTGTTGGACGTACTCCTCTGCCTTCAGCTTCTGTAGAGTGGCCTGGGGGCAGAGAAACTTTCATTAGTAAGAGCCCTTATTTATTGAGCACTTGCTGTATGCTAGCCACAAGGCTAAGTGCTTACATATATTATCTTATGTACCTCTACTTTACTGCTAAGAAATGGACAGTAAGTAACTCCCTGAGGCATACTTCTTAAAAAAAGAAAGTTGGGTAGTGCCAGGATTTGGTGACACCAAACTCTAGAGCTGGTGTTGGGGCTGGTTGGGGTGGACAGAATGCCCCTTTTCCTACCTATACTGTTCTTCCTTCTGCTCTTGATCCCTTGACAAACCATCTATCAGGTCTCCCCCTCCTTCAGGAAACTTCCCTGATTGGTGGTGATGGTGGTGTAATGATCTGAATTGTATTGGGCCCTCAGGTTGCTCCTTTAAAAGCATTCCTCTCCTACCCCCTGGGCCTCTGCCCTGAATCTGGGAGGAAAGGAGGGCAGAGTGGGCAGAAGCAGGTTTTGTCCTAGGCTTTGTCCTAGGTTTTGTCCACTGCTGTCCTTCACAGGAATGAAAGCAACACTGTCCCTAGAAGGATGAGAAGAGAACACATTGTATTATCTGTCTTCCTCCCTCAACGTTTTCACACAGGCACCATCAGAATTAAGTAGTGCCATTTGAGAAGAGGTTTTCAAAGCACCTTCACATGCCTGTGGTCATTGAATATACTCCATTGCCCTGTGGTGTGGAAAGCATGGACATTAGCCCATTTTACAGATGAGAAAACTAGACTTAAAGAGATGAAGTGACTTGCTCATGTGTACGTAGGTAGAGAGAAGCAGATCTGGGATTAGGCCTTGTCCTTTGAATCCCAGTTCACTGTACCACTTTTGAAAGGCAGTCTTGAAGGATAAAGAGTTTCTGAAGGACATTAGCTTGTGGAGGCAGAGGGATGGTGGTAGGTGGAGGCTTGGCAAAGGCAGGCAGTGGAGCTGCTGTGGGCAGCACTGTTATCAGTACTCATAGACATGGCATTATCATTGTTAAGATATTGACCTGCCTCCATGCTGGCTAGGACACAGCTGGTGCCTGGGCCTTCCCACTTCCCTGTGATCTGGCAACTAGAGAGCTGGCATCTGGCATAGCAGAGAACCTCTAGTCCCACTCCCTGTACAGCGCTCCATTCCAACTTGCTGATACCTGTGCTGTCCTAGTTGTTAATATGTTGAATCTCTCCCCAGCAGCTCTGGGGCACCTGGACTTTCCCTCAAGCCTCTGCAGAAATACTAAGGCAGCTGGGTCAGGACAGTAGACATGCTGGGAAGTGTGTGAACAGAGATAGGAAGATGATATTAGTTCTCTCTCCCTAGTTCTCCAGTCACTCATTTTGTAAATGATGGTGGTGCGAGGGTTCTTAGCAGCCTTGGAAGACTTGGTCTGTGGGCTGGACCCAGGGTGGTGCTGGGGACAGGAACCAGCAGGCCAGGGCCAGGCCCCAACTCCCCTTACCCTGGCCTCATCTCCCAGTTCAGTGTGAAGCAAAAAAAGGAAGGTGAGCTGCTGGAGTGGCCCGCTTATCCTTCCAAGGTGCCCTACCCTGCCCTTATGCCCCACAGGGCCCAAGAGCAGCCTTGTGTTTGGGATGCCCCCATAGGACTACTGTGTGGGAGAAAAGAACTGGAAGGCAGAGGGCGTTTCTGGGAGGACCAGCCAATGCCCTTTGCCACCCTATCCTAGGAAGGCGCAGAGAAGGGGGACGCTTATGCACTAGGGGGCCTATTTGAAGTGCCTCTTGCTATCCCAAAGCCTCTCCAGCAACCCTGGAGGATTTTCTCAGCTCAGATGGACAAGAAAAGAGACACATAGGGGGAGGACTCCAGGAAAGGAAGAGGAAATTGGTGCCTGAGCCAGAATATGATACCCCCCCAGAGCTGGGAAGAGGAAGGGAGGGCCCCAGTAGGAATCTTCTTTGTTTGGTGTTAAGGAAATGCCTCCTTTCCCCGAGGCCTCTGGGGCAGCTCTCAGATTCACTTGCACACCCCACACCAGAGCTCCCCAGTGCTGAACTAACACTGATAGATCTAAGAGGTGCCCACTGATCCCATCCCCTTCCCCAGTTAGTATCAGGCTGAGGGATGGGGTGCCTATGACGTTCTGGGCCTTCTGCCAAGCCTTTTGCAAGCATTATTCTCCCCTCTATATGGCAAGGCAGTTACCATGATCAGTGCAATTCTGCAAACCAAGTTCAGACTCAGAGAAGTGAAGGACCTCTTCTTCAGCCCCTGGCTCTTTCCCTGGGCTGCTTGAACAAGGTTCTCCTGCTTTAATGTCTTGGTGTCTGTCTCTGAAAGCTCTTTCTGTTTTCATCACTGGTTCCTTTTTTTCTTCCTCACCCACAAATATGAGCATTCCCTAAGATTCAGTTTCTTCCCCCTTGAGTAGCTAATTTTCTTTAAAAGAGTAAGCCATCACAGGGCTCGGCGCCTATAGCTCAGTGGCTAGGGTGCCAGCCACATACACCAGCTCTGGTGGGTTCGAACCCAGCCGAGGCCTGCCAAACAATGACAACTACAACCAAAAAATAGCTGGGCAGGCTTGGCGCCTGTGGCTTAAGCCAGTAGGGCGCCAGCCACATACACCTGAGCTGGCTGGTTCGAGTCTAGCCCGGGGCCCGCCAAACAACAATGACAGCTGCAGCCAAAAAATGGCCAGGCGTTGTGGTGGGCACCTGTGGTCCCAGCTACTTGGGAGGTGGAGGCAGGAGAGTCGCTTGAGCCCAGGGGTCGGAGGTTGCTGTGAGCTGTGATGCCATGGCACTCTACCCAAGGCGACAGCTTGAGGCTCTGTATAAAAAAAAAAAAATAGCTGGGCATTGTGGCTGGGGCCTGTAGTCCCAGCTACTTGGGAGGCTGAGGCAAGAGAATCACTTAAGCCCAAGAGTTTGAGGTTGCTGTGAGCTGTGATGCTACAGCAGTCTACCCAGGGCAACATGGTGAGACTCTGTCTCAAAAAGAAAAAAAAAAGAGTGAGCCATCACAGCCGGACCCACTAGGAATAAATCTGCAAGTCAACATCTCTGCAAAGGGGGGAAAACAATGGTCTAGCTCCTGGGGACTGCTCTGTGGTGGGGACTTGTAGATATTCTACTGCCCTCTTCAGTTTAGAAAGACTGATGGCACTACAGAGAAGGTCCCCAAAGCATGCAGTAAGAGACAATACCAGGAAAACTAATTTCAGTTTCAGCCTTCTTTGTTCTGCTGGCCAGGGAAAGAACTCCGTGCATATCTTGGTTACAGATCCTTATAGACCTTTCCTCTGTTAGCCTGGAGTGAGACTGCAGGGTGGTGGTGGGGTGTGCTAAATTATTTTGCATAGTAAAATGCTGGCAATTTTTAGTTGCCCTTGAGGGTTCTAAAGGGAGAAGGTGAAAGGGAAGGGGGCTGTCATGGGACCCCAAGGGAGAGGAGAAAGTTCTGAGGGTGATGGTAAGGAAGAGGCTGCATGCCAGTAACAGCTCTAGGAACACTGAGGCTTCTGCTTTTGTCCTTGTGTTTCTCCTTGAGCCATATAGCCTTCAAGAAAACTTAATGGCTTGGCCCCTGTTGCTCAGCAGTTAGGGCACCAGTCATGTACACCAGAGTTGGCAGGTTCTAATCCAGCCTAGGCCTGCCAAACAACAATGACAACTACAACCAAAAAATAGCCAGGCGTTGTGGCAGGTGCCTGTAGTCCCAGCTATTTGGGAGGCTGAAGCAAGAGAATCACTTAAACCCAAGAGTTTGAGGTTGCTGTGAGCTGGGATGCCACAGCACTCCAC